AACATAGTAACATATTAATTAAATTAATAATACAACACAGATAACAATAATAATATATATAATATACTATAATATAATTATATATAATATAAGGACGCCACTATTTCAAATTTACCTATCAATATAGCAAAACTTACCTCAACTAATGTCCAAATAGCGCGAACGACGTTGAGGAGTGACCGGACCTGCAATGGAGCAGAGGTGGCGGCGTCAGGCGGGCTAGAGCGGCGTCAGGAGGGGCTGGAGCGGCGTTGTGAATGGAGGAGAGGAGAGGAGAAGGAGAAGAAAGAAAAAAGAAGAAAGAAGAAAGAGGGCGTTTGGCGTTTAAAGCCCTAAAATTTGCGATCGACTGGTCGGTCGCAAATTTCATTAAAATCGGTCGCAATTTTTAACTCTGCGACGTCGTTTTACTTTGCAATAAAATTGCTACCGATTTGCGACCATATACTTCGGTCGCAAATAATCGGTCGCAAATCGATCGCAGATTTTATTCCTCATTTTGAAGCGCGCAATTTTGCGGCGGAATAAAGCATACTCGTAGATCGGTCGCAAAATCAGTCGCAAATCCGTCGTATATCGGTCGCAAACTGAAATACAAACTCGCGGGAATATTTAGCGCTACAATTGCGACTGTTTGTAAATAGGTCGCGAATCGATCGCAATTTGCCATTTTTTTGTAGTGCTAGTTTTGATTGGTACAAGCTGAATACTGATGGTGCGTCTGAGGGCAATCCAGGCTGTAGTGGTGGTGTGGTGTAATTCGGGACTGCTGGGCTTGTGTTCGTCTATGGAGGCTGAGATTTTAGCCTTGCTTCATGGCTTAATGGTTGCCTGGGATGTTGGTTGCAGGAAACTTATTGTTGAAATGGACTCTAAGGTAACAGTTCAATTGTTTACTGCTCCTTTTAGTTCTAATTTGAGGTTGGTCAACATGATAGTGCAATGTTAGAGATTACTCAAGAGGGACTGGGTAGTTAGGTTTCAGCATTGTTATAGGGAAGCAAACAAGGTGGCTGATTGTCTAGCAAATTTAGCTGTTACATCTGCTATGGGTAGAACATATCTGCATCATCCTCCTGCTGTGTTTACTGATTTGCTGGGATGGGATTGCCAACAGGTGGCTTGGCCACGCGTTGTTTCTATCTGTAGCTAGTTCTTATTGGGATTTTTCCCTTCCCTTGAATCCAAAAAAAATAAAAAAATAAAAAAAATAAATCAAATGCATATTACTATTTTGATTTTGATTTTGGTTGTTATTAAGAACCATATCAAACCAAAGAATCAATTTATATATTTTGTAATATATTGTTTAAACCTTTATTTTTTACATAAAAAAGAACTTTTATTACTATTTATTAATAAAAATAGTGTATATATTAAAACTAAGGGAAAATTATTATTTCGTCCCTGATGTTTGTCATAATTATTTAAGTAATCCTCGACATTTATACATATATTTATAACATCCCTGAGGTTTGCCACCGTCATATTAATTGGTCCTTCCGTAAAAAAGAATACACTTTTTCTGTTAATTTTGAGAAGAAAAGATGAAATTATCCTTTCTAATTATAGTTGTTTCCACGAATTTATTACAATATTTATAGTCCTGAGGGTTTATTCGTCATGTTTATTAGTCTTCCATTCAAAAAATACATTTTTCTGTTTAATTTGTGGAAAGACGAATTATCCTTTATGTTTTTCATTTTTGGGGGGGGACTTTTTTTTATATCCTTCCTCTAAAATACCTAACTCATTTTTCACCTCTTCTTCAACCAACCCGGTATTCCATTGCCCACGTGTCAATTTGAAAATTATTTCTCTAACAGATCATCACCAAAACTAAAACCCAAACATCCAAATTTCAATCAAGCCATTCATCCCCTTATCTTTATTCTCTTCCGTTGTTGGGGCTTGGTAGTTTGGTTAATCAAGCCATCATCACCCTTCATCCATTTATCTCTCTCTCCTTGATTAGAGGATTTAGGGTAGTTTGGTCATTCTATTAAAAATTAACAGAAAAAGTGTTTTTTTGGACGGAAAGACCAAGTAATATGACGGAAGTAAACTCAGGGACGTTATAAATATTTATATAAATGGCGGGAACTACTTAAATAATTATGGCAAACCTCAGTGACGAAACAATTACTTTCCCTTTTAGTTTTGTTGGTGATCTGGTTATGAGGATGATACTTGACAGAGACACGGTGGTAGCAATGAAGACCGTGTTGGAAATAATTATTTTTCCAAAGGATAATTTCGTCTTTTCCTCTCAAAATTAACGGAAAAAATGTATTTTTTTGACGGAATAACCAATTAATATGATGGTGGCAAACCTCAAAGACGTTAAATGTCGAGGACTACTTAAATAATTATGGCAAACCTTAGGGACGAAATAATAATTTTCCCTAAAACTATTTGTCTCACCCGATATCTGATATTTAACAATATACCAACTGATAAAATGTATGCACTAACATCTTACTATATCCGACTAAATATGATAATCTATAACCACACACACACACACATATATATAAACAACAATACATTATAAGATGATTGATATTATAAAATACCTAATGCATGATTTTGCTTTTGAACTATCGTCGTTTCTCATAATGGCCCTTTAAACTTTGCGAGATTCTATAATAACCATGTATTAATAAATCTTTCAGTAGCATGTCTCTCGCCGAAGTGTAAAAAAGAAGTGAAATACACGTGTGTTGACATGTACTAAATAATTACACGTGTATTGAATTAGAATTCACATAAGAGAAAAATACTAACAGTAAAAAAAGATTTCCTCCTTTTATTGTTGGTTCTTTCACACATTTCACCAAACATCTTTCGTCATGAGAAATTTTCTGTTGCAGGAACTATAAAAATTAACCAAAATAATTATTTATATAAACATCATAATTCAAACCATACTTTACAATGTTTAGCTCAAGAAATTGATTAAGATAATGAAATAGAAAATAAAAAAAAAAACATGAGAGAAGAAAATCACAATATTTAGAGTCCAAAAGAGATTAGAATCTACAATTTGACATATAATCGGAGACTCTATTAGTTTTGGCTTCTTCAACTAGCTAACTTCCTTTTTTTTTTTTCTTCTTTTTCATCTCTCTCTTTCAGTCTCTACTCCCTCTGTAATTTCCTATTTCTGATAGTGATGCTTTTTGCTTATATTTCTAATAAAACTTGAACCAGAAAAACAAAAACTTTACTTACCATAATCAGTTGTCAACAGTTGCTCAAACTTTTTAATTCCTTCACATATGTTCCCATTTTCGAACCGATTCTAGTTGGAGAAACAAAATCAGTTGAGAAAGTGAGAGAGATGGATGTAGTTCATGAGGTTGATTTTGAAGAGAGAGAAATTGATAAAGAACAAACTCCTTAAGCTATTTGACAATAACAACCATTGATCATGCGACTTTGGACACTCATTAGCTGAGAAAATCAGCACTTGCACTTCCAAACGCGATTAAATGCATCCTACTTAGTAAGGGGCATGATTACTGAAGGATTTATTAATACAGGATCACAATAGAAACCCTATAAGTATCAGGAGGCCAGTAAGAGAAACGATAATAATTTAAGAGAAAAATTATGCATTAGGCCTATTATAAAATTAAAAACTATTTCATATCAAATCAAATCTGTATTATATTTTTGGATGACTTTATAAAATTTAATAAAAGAATTGAATATTAACGTCAGTCATATAAAAATATTGCAATTACAACATATGATTTAGGTATTTTCTCATGAATATATTTTGATAGCTTTTACCATTAGAATTATGATTAATATTATAACTATAACTGTAATTATTCTAAGTATCATTAGTATTGTAATTATATTTTTTTTTCTAATTATAGCCAGTATTATAATCGTATTTAACAATGTAACTATATATAACTACTCTAACTATAACTAATATTCTAATAATATTATGATTATAACTTTTATAGTTATAATTATATTAACTAGTATTATACCTAATAATATCATAATTATACCTAATGTTATAATACGTAATAATATTATAAATATCTACTATTGTACCTAATATTAACAAGTAATTCTAATTATATGCAGTGTTATAATTGTAACATTTCTAATAATTAATATTGTGTACGTGTTTATAATTTTTATACTATTGTTATATGCTATTATTAATAATTTTTCTTCAATTATCAAGTATTTTAAATTTATTTTAACATTAATATTTTTTTTAAAATTGAAAAATATATTAGTTTTAAGTTGGAATCAAATCAAAATTTTCTTTTTTTTTAAATCAACAAAAAATTTTTTATTAAAATTAAAGATACCAGAAAAAGTTTAGCATTTCCAAGAATTTATCCTAAGCCAATAGACTTCCTCAATACACTCATAACTAGCCTGAAAATTTTAAATAAAAACCTGACAAAAACAATGCAACCAGATAGGAAAACCTTCTCATTCTCTAAAGCTAAGAAAAGAGGGAAAACCTTCTCATTCTCTAAAGCTAAGAAAAGAGATGCAAAACGTCCAAAAAAAACAACTCACCGACGATCAAGCAACAATAAAAATAGTTACACCCAAGCTAAAAAAATCCCTTGCAGCATTAACACCTTTCTTAGCCAAAAAATCAGCAAAAAACGAACCAAAAATTTCAAGAACCAAAATGAATTTCGATTCCGGTTCTTCTCAAAAACCGAACCAGAATTGCATATTTTTGTAGAACTCTATGTTGAATTACTCTTTCTTCTTGAATTATCAGACTGTAACTAAACAGTAACAAAGCAACTAAACATTTATACAATGATTCACTTCTTATTAATAATGAATATGAACAAAAAGAATCCAGGCAAAATTGTGAAATTTAATTTAAGAAGAAAAACTATGTATGTATACGCCAAAAAATCAAAACTCTAATTAAAACTTGAATCGAAACCCTAATTGATTCAGCATCTTTAATAACGAAATTTGCAGCATTATCCTTGAAAACTTCAACTAATGTTTTTCATTCTTGATTCTGCACTGCACATTTAGTTAGACATTAGTAATAAACACAAAGAAAGCAACATAAAAACATCTAAGCTTTATAGTTTGAAAATGTTTATAAATGTTATGGGTGAAACTTTACCATTGAATTAGTAGTCCTAGTCATTTGATTAAATAAAAATATACCTCGATGGACATGCTTCTTTAATATCAATGGTATGTGATTGATTGTAATGAAGAGAAAATTCCATCTCTTGTTGGATAGAATCAAAAAAATTAGGGTTTGTTTCCATCTCCATACTAGTATTATTGAAAATAATATTACTATTAACCCTTCTGGGTTCTACAATATCATCACTTTTCTTCCCCTTAGCGGTCCCGATTCCAGTTCTGGTTCCGATTCCATCACTATTGACAAATCCATCACATTGATGCTTCTTGCAAATTTCAATCTGCCTCTTGGCATGCAAAATTTGCTGTTTGACTTGTTCTGCTTGATATTGGAGATGTAAAATAATACCCAGACACCCATGAACAGGAAATCTTGCTCTCATGTTAGACTCATAAATTATAGATCTCATTGTCTCATCTTTCTCATCATCTTTCACTTGCTTTAATATCTTCAAAATGTTATGAACTCCGAATAATCTCCGAGCGTTTCGAAAGGTTCTTTGCTGATCGGCGGGGAAATAAGGGGCTAATGCACATTCTTTAGTGCATTTTCTTCTCTGGTACTTGCAAACTGCACACGCTTGGCTTGTTTTGGGGATTGTATCTTCTTTTTTCATCATAAGAAGAAGTAACAAGAAACAACCCAAACAAAAAGAGATCAAAAAGAACATTGTGAGAGATTACTTGAGCTTGTTGGAGAGATGAAAATGGCGTCTTAGTTTTTTATTATTAGAAATTTTTGAATAGAGTGTCCGATTTAGATGGGACATCTTTTTTGGACTCTACAGTATCTTTGGAGTTAATATTTATATATAGCTGGTTCTTTTGGGATTTGAGATTAGGGTTTTTTTGGTCATTTGTGATGAGCGTAATAGTGACCTAGACATCTTTGATATGTACTATTGCATGAGCTGACTTTGACGCGTTATCATGCTTAATTCGCATTCTTGAACTTACTAAACACGTTTTCAATTTCTAACTATGTATATTTTGTAAACACCTTAACCCAACATTACACTAGCCGTAAAAAGTCAAGATTTCTCATGTTCCAACTCCGCTAATTTATTTACTGAGTCTAAAAATTTAGTTCAAATTTAATTTGTTTAAAAAATAAACTCAAATCGAGCCGATTGAGCTTTATATGGAATCGAACCTTAGAACTAACATTAGTAAACAATTTGGTTCATCATGATGTAATCATAATCGTAAAGATTTCAATGATATTAGAATTAATCATAACTAGTTATTTCAATCATTCATGTATAGTTAAACTATATATATATATTTCTAATACATTTAAAAATTAATTTTTTTAATAAAGATAATAACATAAGCTATAATTTGATTCATTTTGCAATTTAGTTACTATCTCTTCTTTCTTTGTTCATATGATAATATGTTTAATTCGCATAAACATGGAAAATGTGTATCACGTTTTTAACAAAATTTGAAGTGTCAATAGTTATCTTTACTATCTCAAAAATAAATTAAAGTAAAAGAGTATGATGTATATCAGAAAATGTGGATATGAGTTAGGAGGGCAGAGCTAATCAGTTGCATACTTAATTTATGATCAAGCTAAGCAGTTTTAAGTTTTTGTTTTAGGTTAGCCATTAACAATTTTTCGTTGCCCCATTCTAAAATGAAGTTGTACTTATTGGACTTTTCCCCTATTAGCAGCCAGTAGAACTTAGTAATATTTAGAATAGTTTGTTAAAAATTTTAACTAATTTTTAATATATGATGAAAAGTAAACTTGAAAAAAAAAAAAAAAAGTTATATATGCTCATCAGTTTATAATATTAGAATCAAAAGCAAGAGGATCAAACAAAATTTATGGAGAGAACATATATATTACTTTATTTATGTAAGTTTCATTTAATTTACCAAACACCTACAATGTAACTGTTGGTGTGAAACAGCTATCAGTTGTATAAAACAGCTATCAGTTGTATAAAACTACTGAACCAAATGTCAACTTAATTTTCAATTTGAAAATCTTTAATCTAGTGAAGATTAGAGCAAATCTAGAATGGATAGAGAAAAATGCAAATTAAACACAAAGAAGAACATATTTAAAAAAAATTAAAAATTATTGAAACCATCTTTTTCTATCTCAAAAATATCTCAAAGATTTTCAATGAAAACAAAGGAAAAAAAAAAAAAAGTAAGATTTTCAATGAAAACAAAGGAAAAAAAAAAGTAGAAGGTTGAAGAGAAGACAAAAAAAAAAAATTAAATTTTGAAACTTAAATTCAGATTTCTCTCTTGGATTGCAACTTTGTCAGGTTGAACTTTTATACTTAGAGCCTCAGTTTTGATAGGGACTATGCTATTAAACATGCTTTTGTAATAGTATAGCTTTTGAATAATTACTTATCATTGAAACTGAGATTTACATTTAATAAATTATGATAGGGACTATGCTATTAAACATGCTTTTGTAATAGTATAGCTTTTGAATAATTACTTATCATTGAAACTGAGATTTACATTTAATAAATTATTTATGATATATTTATAATTTTTGTCTTCTATCTTATACTAGTAGGCTTTAATGTATAGAGTTTATTCTGTACATAAAAGATTAAATCATTTCGTTCAAATGAGTTATAAAATCTTTGTTCATAATCTAAGGTGGAGCTCACAAACCATTGCTATGATTGTAGTACAGGATTACAAGTAATTTATCTTAGTTATAGGAATGGTTAAATTCTAACTTTTTGTGTTGATGCATATTTTATGTATTGAACATGGATAGGACTACGCATGACCTGTTATAACCTGATCCAATTAGGCGAGTTTTTGAAGATATAATGGATTGGGTTTGGGCAGGTCATCTTTATAATTCACGGATTGAGTTGGGTCAGACGTTCACTAGATAAACCCGCATACCCAATCCAACCCATAAATAATTCATAAATTATTTAGTTAATTTGATTTGATTTGCAATTTTGAATATAAATACTAAATTATATACATATTTAGTAGATATTACCTTTATTATTGGAGTACATTGTGGTTTAAAACATATTATATAATTATGTTACTAAGTATTTTTAATTTTTTAAAACATATTATATAATTATGTTACTAAGTATTTTTAATTTTACTGGTTGTCTTTTATTAGAAAATTTAATTTTTCATTGTTGATTATGATTATGATGATGATAATAATGATCATGTTAAGTATATTTATTGTATACTTAAGTTTTTAAGTATATTTAATTTTTTTTAGTAATCCTCTTAAACAGTTGTATTTTATTTAAAAATATTTTTATTATTATTATTTATTTGATTCACGAGTTTAAGTTAAAGTCATACCCGATCCAACTCGTCTATAATCTGCGGGTTCACACATTTAATGGGTTGAATTGGGTCAAAAGATTATTGACCCGCACATACGGGTCATATGCTTTAAATCAATAAACCCGACCCAACTCGACCCACATGCAGACCAAGTATAGAATAAGTGTTTTTATACTGACTAAATAAAATAATTTTTATACTGACTAAATAAAATAAATTCTTTAGCTCATTAATAGTTATATTAAGTACTACTCCTAATCTTTATTTAATTGTTATAAGTAATATATATTGTTTATTGTTTTGATTTATTAAAAGATTAAGTTTCATTATGGAGCAATAAACTCAGTGAATTGGATAATAACAATATGCATTTGTGAAATACAATTCATGGATAGAATCCGTGTTTCAGTATATGGATTAATGATACTCCTTGAGAAACTTATAAGTTTTTATTGTGTAAAACCATGCAGGTGGATTTTGTATCCAACACATGAAATAAGTTGAGTGGAATTCTTGAGGAATTAAATTATCAATTAAATAAAATAGTCATTAATTTAATTTAATTGATACGTTGTAATCTTAAAATGAGGATTTTATATATTTTAATGTTAGGAGATTCAAAATTATTAAATAAAATAGTCATTAATTTAATTTAATTGATACGTTGTAATCTTAAAATGAGGATTTTATATATTTTAATGTTAGGAGATTCAAAATTAATAAAGAGTTCAATTATGAAATTTTAGTGGAATAATTCATAATTTATTATAATAATATTTTACAGATTGTATAAATACATTATTATTATTATTATTATAAAGTAGCCTTATTAATTTTATTCTTGAGGGTTCCCGGTGTGTCTGTGTTATTTAGAACTAATTAAAAGGTTAATAAAATATAATATTAATATTGCAAAACGTGATTATATATATCGTTTTTATTAATATTACTATTTTTAATTGAAAAAAAATATATAAGAGATGCTTAGGCTAAATCTAGGCGTCAGTCTCCCATATTTCGTTTTTCTCTTAATAGCCTTCTGCCCGCACAAATAATTCTAAAGAAATAATTTAGTTCACACAATATAAGACTGCTGCAGAGAAAATCAGTGCGGTATCGATAGAGCAGGAGCTGTTGTGTGAAATAAGAATTCGAAATTAGTATTGATTTCTTTCTCTTAAGGGATATTTACAATTCTAGAACTTCAATTTATGATTTTTGTATCTAAGTGGTTTACCTATATATGTATATTGATCCTGTGGCTTCCGTTGTATGATTTTTTTCATCAAATTTTTTCTGTTATAAAGAAAAGAAAATTTTCTACAGAAAGAGAGAATGACATTGGCGGCAAAAAAACGAAGAAAGTGGAGGGAAAAGAATGAGCTCTTGGCTTTGTTTACTAAAATTAGAAATTTAATCTAGTCAAATCAAAGCTCAATCTCAATTTTGAGTTTTGAAATTCCCACTAAAATATTTTTACACAGTAAACTCAAAATTTGAATTTTAAAGACCTTTTATTGAAAGACTTTTCCCTATAATATATTTCAAAGAGTAAAATATTAGATTTAAAAATCAAATTTGAAATACTAAATAAATAAAGAAAGAAAGATTTTTTTAAAATAATCCTAATAATCCTAAGACACTAACCTATGATCTTCAATAATCTTCAAGGTGTCCTCAATGAATTTTGGTTCTTGAGTCCTTATGATTATTGCTCCACTTCTCTTAGATTTGTAATTTCTGTAAGCGTAGAAATAATTTTCAATTTATTTATTTTGTTATTCATCAAAACGTTAGGGATTGTAAGCTTGAATAAAAAATATATGTAAACGCGAGTCAAGGGAACATTGGGTTTAGTAAAGATATCCGTACTAAATTTATGTATTGCCAAAAATATTTTTAAGGATTTAATTTTATTGGTCGGAAAAAAAATAATTTAATTTGATTGGTTACTTTAGTTTTTTATTTAAATCTAAATTATATTGATCAATAAATAAAATAAAAAGCCATTATTGCAAAATATTGTAATTATAAATTTCAATCTAGGAAGTGGACTGTACCAAAAAAACTAATTTAATTATAATGTATTAAATTAAATATTATATTAGTAATTATATTAATATTAAAATAAAAATTCAGACAAACGTAGAGAATATTAATATTAGATTTTGACAAACATCAATAATCTATAAATCAAATAAAAATTAAATTATGGATCTTGATATTATACATATTACATATATTTACTTTCTTTACAAGAAAAAATCACCACAAATTTTATTTATTTTATCAAATAAATTTTATTTCTTTGGCTATCAAGAATTGTTTGAAGTTTCTTACAAACAATTTTTAGGTTAGCTACAAACTACAATTGAAAACATTTGGCTTACTATTTAAATGATAGACTTTAACATTAGTTTCAATATTTTAATCAAACAAT